AAATTGAAGTGCAGACTTTAAGCTTTAATTCAAGGGGTTGAACAAAATATAACATAAAAAACGTAGGAATTACAACCATCTTTATACACAGTCCCTCCATTTTCAGGGGCTCAAATGTAATTGGACAAATAAATATAATCATAAATAAAATGTTCATTTTTAATATTTTGTTGAGAATCCTTTGCAGGCAATGACTGCCTTAAGTCTGGAACTCATGGACATCACCAGAGACTGGGTTTCCTCCTTTGTGATGCTTGAGACTGCACTTCTACTGACCCCTCTGTCAAACTCCTGAAGTTTGTGGAAGACACTACAGTCATCGGTCTCATTCAGGATGGTGACGAGTCTGCTTACAGACAAGAGGTTGAGCAGCTGGCTGTCTGGTGCAGTCACAACAACCTGGAGCTCAACACGCTCAAAACTGTGGAGATGATAGTAGACTTCAGGAGGAACCCCCCCTGCACTCCCCCTTCTCACCATCATGAACAGCACTGTGGCTGTAGTGGAGACATTCAAGTTCCTGGGCACAACCATCTCCCAGGACCTGAAGTGGGACATTCACATAGACTCCATTGTGAAAAAGGCCCAGCAGAGGCTGTACTTCCTTTGTCAACTGAGGAAGTTAGACCCATCACAGGCGCAGATGACACAGTTTTACTCAGCTGTTATTGAGTCGGTTCTGTGCTCTTCTATAACTGTCTGGTTTGGGTCAGCCAGCAAATCAGATATAAGAAGACTGCAGCGGACAGCAGAAAGGATCATTGGTGTGCACCTGCCCAACCTTCAGGACTTGTACAACTCCAGAGTTAAGACACGGGCAGGTAACATCATCACAGACCCCTCTAACCCCGGCCACAACCTGTTTGCACTTCTCCCTTCAGGCAGACACTACAGATCTCTGTGCACTACAACATCTAGGCATAAAAACAGTTTTTCCCCCATGGAATTGTAGTGTCTGGACCAATCAAAAACACAATTTTTCATTTGATTTAACAAATCAGTTATTCATTAGATTAACAAGTCGTCACAGACCCCTCACCCAATAGACTGGGCGCCAGGATGTCTGCGAATGACCACAGGCCACTGGTTACCATGG